CTTCCTGCCCCCCCCCCACACACGAATGGCATCTCTGCTGCCGATACACAGCCACACACCTTTGGAATGCACACGAGCCACACACTACATTCCTTTACCGTCGTCTATCTATCGATGATAGGTCATCCCGACCGCTCTCCACGCCCCTCTCCGCCTTAACAACCGTCCGTCTATGAGTCATGCGTAAAGGCGAAATAGGCAACAGTGCCAAAGACAAATTAGGCCGAGAGTGCACTTAATGCCAGAGCAATCGTCACCTTTGCGAACCGATGCATTGCGGGAGTTCAGCTGACCCATGTTCGGCGAATGGTAGCGGTGGGGGGATGGCAGTGGAGGACACAGCCGCAGAATGGTGGTGCATTTGAGGTGAGTCGATAGACACAGAAGCGGGTGGCGCGAGGATCGCGGCGGCATAGGCATCGTGATAGGCGGTTTCGTCCGCCTGCAAGATGCGTTCGAGGAAGTCGAGGGCCGTTGAATCGACCGAAGTCAAGCTATCCACAGCCTGAGGGGGCGCAATGTGAGTTGCATCGGCTAGCAGAGAGAGGAATGAATTGAGGAGGAAGGACACAGGAAATTTAATCTGCCACTATCATACATGTCTTACAATGGCTTTTTAAACACTGTCGCCATGCTCACCTAAACAGCCCAGTCAATCAGATCTAAGCAAAGACACAAAGCTCAGGTGCTCCGTGAATAAAAAGAAAATAAGTAAAAAACTAAGCTTCGGCTCGAAATAGCGCCTGTTAGCACATGCCAGCCACCCAAAGTCCGACATTAAAGGGCCATGACCAATAAGCCTTGGCGATGCTTATCGAGTTATTGATGTTTTTCCATTTTCAAATTTTATGCTAAGATTGCAACGTAGTAGGATGCCAAAGTCTTAAGCTGAGCTATGGTTTGCTAATAACAAATTCAAACCTATCGGATAGCTTAGTTTTGCACAAAAATGCCGGATTTTTCGACGAACTATTCAAACAAGTAATCAATTAGCGTCCAAGTTAATAAAAAGCTTTCAATATGGCAAATCAGATGGTTCCTTATAGCCTTTTTAATAAATGCCCTTGGTCATATTGCTTATTCCCGGGACCTTTGCTTGTTAGAGCCAGTTTTAGGGCATCGATCCAAACTAAACGGATGTATCGACCGTCTCGTCTTTTTTACTCCCCACTTTCAAGTTTTCCAAATTTGCAATGGCTCACACACGCAAACACACACACACACACAGTCAAGGGCAGACTGTGCTTGTGCCTGCTTGGTGGTAATTTGAAAGGAAAGACCACCTTGGGAATGAGACAAAATGAGTCCATTTTAGACGTTTTGGGCGCACATATGACGCCCGAATAGGTCTCGGGATAAACACTAACATGAAGGTTATCAACCAAGCAGAGCAATTTCACTGATGATTTTCCTTTAGGGTAAGACCACCAAAAAGTTCGTGATTCTACTCGAGTACAATTAGACAAAAAACAACCCGATAAGCGTGATGCACTTGTGGACAAAAAACAATTACAGTATCAAATACGGAAAACGCAAAGAAGTAAGGCCAATAAAGACATAACATATCGGTGGTTGGTGCAAGAGGTCTGCAGCCATTTGTACAGACTGCATTCGACGTCGACTCTTGCTCTTGAGTCTTCCACTTGATCAGTTGGATTGGCTGTGACCTTTTTGCATTCAAGGCGAGCCGAACTGTCTTTGACATATTATTTGCATTTGGGACTCAGGCGAGTCTATCCTTTATCATCATACCCTCAAATTAGGGCCTGACTCGACATCACACACACACACACACACACACACACAAACTGGGTCGAAAACAGAATATGTCTGCCGTCCTCGGCAAGCTCAGGTCCGCACAATAACTGCCGCATCTGATGCAGGCAATCTTGCCGACTGGCCAGATGCGTCTGATCCGACAGTCTAATGTTTCCTATCGATCCAAGAAGGCCTTAGGCCGACAAAACCGTTAAATATATTCGTATTTGAGTAGGGTTTCGAGACTACCAGTAAATCATTGTAATGAGATGTATTCACCCTATTT